GATTTACTGCCTCTGAAAACCTGCTGGAGGGTCAGCTATGAGTCAGTTCTGTTCTACTGTATACAACAACAACTGAGGGCTCAGTGGTCCAAAGCTGGGCTGCAAACCCTATGGAATGCGGTTTGAATCATAAGATGCTCCACAGGAGGAAGATGGACAGTACCCTCCTGTGCAATTTACTGCCTCGGAAAGCCTGTTGGACACTCAGCTAGGAGATGCTATCAACTCAATGATAAAGCAAAAACTGGATGCACGGAAAAACTATGGTATAAATGTTGTTGTTGTTGTTGTTGTGTGCCATAGAGTTGGGACCAACCCACAGTTGACTCTCCAGTGGGTTTTCAAAGCAGTTAATCACACGGGATGAGACTGCCTATCCTTCTCCCGTGGTGACCTCAAACCACGAGCTCTCAGAATTGCAGCGCATTGCTGTCAAACAGACTCATTAATGACCCTCCATGGGTTTCTGGGGCTGTAAATTGCAAAGGAGGAGATTGCCCATCTTTCTCCTGAAGAGCTCGAACTACCAGAGAGGCTAACAGCGCAATTCTCTACAGCTTACAGTAAAAGAGCTCCCTACTTGAAAGTACCTTGAAGGTTAAAATTCAAAAACTTGAAATGGAATAGAGGTCTTCTTTTCAAACTTTTAACAAATTTTAAAATTGAGAAATGTATGGTCTTTGGTTTGTGTTTTATTAAACATAAGTTTAGAAACACCATTTTTAATTTACTTAACTCATTGCTGATGTGCTGTTCCAGTCGATTTTTAATACTCTTCAGTAAAATCTTGCTTGCATGTGAAATCAGTGAGAATGTCCTATAGTTTCCACTCTGTTGGGTCACCTTTCTTTGGGATAGGAACAAATATAGATATCTTCCAGTCAGTTGGCTAAGTGGTTGTTCTCCAGATTTCTCGGCACAACTTGGTGAGCACATCCAGGGCAGCATCTGTTAGCTGAAATATGTCAATTGGTATACCATCTATTCCTGGAGCCTTATTTTTTGCCATT